CTCCCAGGCCACCATGCAAGAGACCTATTTGAATACTTTAAAAGCTGCTGCCCGAGGGTCCCGCTTCTAATCAGCCTGTGTCTAGTGCTGACTGAGATCTTCTCCTTTGGGATACTTACAGAAGTTGGCACACCCTCAACTACTGGGCGCCACTAAGAACAAACTGGGTGGCTTGGATGATAACAAAGGTTTGACAGACAACTAAGAGTCAGGGCCTGGCAGAACGAAAAGGTCTACCTCATACATGAGACCCCTCCATCAAGACGGGGAGAGGTGGCTACATTACCTAATACACAGAAACCGACACAGAGTAAGGAAGATGAAGAAACAGAGGAATATGTTCCAAACCAAAGAACAAGATAAAAATCCAGAAGCAGGTAAGTAGAGATTAATTTAATTAGCTGGCAAAGAGTTCAAAATAATAGCCATAAAGATGACTACTAACATCAGAACAATGCATAAAAAGTGAGTATTTCAACAAAGAAAAGTTTAAAATCGGTATCACAGAACTGAAGAAAAGAAAACAGAACTGAAAAATTCAATACAGGGGTTCAACGGAGGACTAGATGCAGTGGGAGAAGGGATCAGCAAACTTAAAGACAGGGCAGCAGAATTCATCTAATCAGAGAATTAAAAAGAAAAAGGAATGAAGAAGAGTAAATACAGCTTAAAAAACAAAAAAGATGCCATTAATTGGCACTATAGGGTTTTCAAAAGGAGACGAGAGAGGGAAAAGGGAAGAAAGCCTATTAAAAGCATAGCTGAAAACATCCATCTAACCTGTGGAAAGAAACAGACATTCAGCTCCTGGAAGCATGAAGAGTTCCAAACAAGAAGAACCCCAAACTGTCAACAATTAAAGACAGAGAATCTTGAAAGCAGAATGAGAAAATCAACTTGTTACTTATAAGTGAACCCCCATAGAAGTATCAGATTAGTCAGCATAAACATGGCAGGCCAGAAGGGAATGGAATGATATATTCACATTGCGGACAATACGAAACCTTCCCAAGCAAGAATCCTCTACCCAGCAACACCGCCCTTCAGAATCGAAGGAGAGGTGGAGCGTTCCAGGCAGCAACAGCTAAAGGAGTTTGTCACCACTCCGCCGGCCTTACAGGAAAAGTTACAGGGACTCTTCAAGCTGAAAAGAAAGATGCTACTTAGTAACAGGAAAACATGAAAATATAAACCTCACAGGTAAAGGTAAATATACAGTTAAATTTAGAAAAGTGTAATGGTGATGGGTAAATACTTATAAATCTAATATAAAGACTATAAGACAAAAGTAGAAAAATAATTATAGCTACAAGAATTTATCAATGCTGACATAAGGTAAAGGGATGTAAATTGTGCTATCAAAAACATAAAATGTGGGGGTGTGAAGGGTTAAAATGCAGACATTAGTAAGCATTCAAAGCTGTTACCAGTGTAAAACAGACTGGTGTAACTCTAAGATGTTATACGTAATGTTATATGTATGCCTCGTCGGAACCACAAAGTAAAAGCCTACAGTACATGCACAAAAGACAAAGGAATCTAAACATATCATTTCAGAAAA